GACATGGACGTGTGCAGCTGCCGTCAGCCGGGAAGTCGCCTCTGCCTACCTGCTGTGCCAGCTGGGCTCCTTGGGCCAAGCGGTAAGGGCCCGGGCTGGGGGCCCCCTCCGGCCGCCCGCTCCGGGCACTGCCAACCTCCGAGAGCACGTGTGAGTAGAATTCCATCCGGCCCCCCAGCATCTGTCATCAGCCCCCGCCGCCCACCAGAACTGCACTCTGGGGCCTGCAGTGCCCCCCAAACCCAAACGTTGTGACCCACGATACCCCATGGCTTCATCCCGTGCCAAGTGGGCTCTCTACCCCCAGAGCCCTGACTATGGCCAGCTGGCTTCCTCATCCTGGGGAAGCTTCCAGAATGCTGTCTCCTGTGGTTGCCCCGAGTCTCATGGTCTGCACAGTTCCGTCTGTCCGTCCCTATGAGCCTCCGAGCTGTCCTACCCAAGGCGGACCTCAGCAGCCTTCCCTGAAGCTGCCGACCACCGGCTGGGCGAGTGGCCTCCGCGCCGCATCTCGCTAGAACTCCAGCAGCACAGCCCCCCTTCTCCTCCCGCAGCCGGCCCCCCGGCCCCACAGAACCGGCCAAAGCGGGCTCCGCAGGAGGCTCCACGGGTACCAGAGAGGCTGCACACCCATGTGCCTCAGCATCCCTCCTCCTCCTCAACTCCAGCGCCTTCACCTCTGCCTGCCTTCCTGCCGCCCCAGGGTACACACTCTGCAGCCTCACGGGGTGCAGGCCCCGAGCCCCACAACCCATCCTGGCTGCCCCCACTGGCAGCCGTCCTCTCTGCCCCTGCATGGGTTCACAGGTCTGCCATCGTGCCCTCCCACCCACACGCTGCACGCTGGGGTCCCCGAGCTGCGGGCGGAGAGCACACTCCACCCCAGAGCTGGAGCGCCCGGGGCCCTGTGCCGCCCCACTCACCTCTCCTGTTCCCAGAAGGGACTCGGCTGAGGCTCCGCCTGGGACCCCACCTTGCACCGCTCCTCAGCCCCGCGGAGGCCCGTCTCCTAGTGGCCAGGGAAAGGACCCGACTCAGACAGGTGCCTCCAGCTTCTGGTTCCCCGGCCCCCGCCCCCTCCAGCTCGGGGCCCTGCATTCTGGGCCCCGTCCTCTCCCCGTTGTCAGCCGCACCATCTTCCACTTCTCCTGCATCTGCCTTCAGAGACAGTAAACACCGAATCTCTTCCCCCCAAAGGCCAACAGACAAAACCCCAGCTAGTCCTTTGGACACCACGTCCCCTCCTACCTTCCACTCTCTCTCCCCTCCCCTACACCCCCTGTGCTTTCTGAAAGAAGGTCTCTGCTTCCTGTTTCACTCTTTCCATTCTGAACTCGGCCCCCTGTAGCCCGCCTCCAGAGCCCCACCTCCAGAAACAGCTCTGGCTTTAGTCACCAAGACTGTCTTGCTGCTCACTCTAGGGGACATTTGGTGGCCCTTGCCTCCAGGAGCCTCTTGGAGCAGTTGGTTCTGTTGGGCCGTCCTTCCTTTTGCGAAACACGGTGCCCCCGGCTGCTAGGAGGACGTCACACCCTGGTTTCTCTCCCACTTCCTTTGCCCTCCCCTGCTCCGGCTGCCCCTCAACACCGAGATTCTCTACCAGGGCCTTCTGTGCTTCTCGAGCTGTGTCCTGTCCCCCGGCATCTCGGGCACACTCGTGTCTTCACCTGCCCCCTGCACACGGGTGACCCCCACGCCCATCTCAGCTCAGACCTCCCTCCCGAACTCCAGGACCGCACTGGGTCCTGGATGCCCCAGACAACACAGACCAGGCACTTCCCACACAGACCTGGCCTCCTGCCCCTGAGCTCCCTGTAGCAGCAAATGAGACAAAGTGCACAACCCAGACAGTGGGAGTCACCCCGGGCTCTCGTCCCCACTTCCCCTCCCCTGCAGATGCAGCCGGTCACTCGACTGTACACGGGGAGTCTCCTGGAAAGCTCGCCAGACACAGCTTCCTGGGCCCTACCCCTGACTTACTGAATCTGAATCTCCAGGGCTGGGGCCTGGGAATCTGAATTTCTAGAAGGCTCCCCCATGTTGCTGTGATGGCTGGCATTCAGTAACCCCAGTTCTTCCCGCGCTGCTTGCCTGCACTGGGCGTCAGCTTCCTCCCGGCATCTCCTGCCTCACCGCCTTCGGACTATGCACTCCAGCCACGCAGAGAGATGCAGTTCCAAGTACACGCAGGGTTTGTCTTTCCACACGTGGTTCTTTCTGATCACACCCCCCTGGATAGGCTCCCAGTCTCAGCCCAGGCCAGGCTAACTGCCTGCCCCTCGGGTGAGTGATTACAGACGTGGTAGGTTCTCTCCTGGTCAAACAGTAGACCCTCAAGACAGGACCTGGATCTTCAGTGGACACTCCCCCCAGTGCTGAGCGCAGTTCCCAGCTCAAAGAGGTGGTGAACAAGAGAATAAAACAGGAGGGGTGCCTGGGTGGCTCAGTTGGTTAAGTGACTGCCTTCAGCTCGGGTCATGATCTTGGAGTCCCTGGATCGAGTCCTGCACCAGGCTCCCTGCTTGTCAGGGAGTCTGCTTCTCCCTCTGACCCTTCCCCCTCTCATGTGCTTTCTCTCTCTCTCATTCTCTCTCTCTCAAATAAATAAATAAAATCTTTAAAAAAAAAGAGAATAAAACAGGAGAAGGAAGGAGGGATGGCAGCGGGGCTCAGAGGATGGTGACTCCACCAACCTGTTTGGAGGCCCAGGCCACGAGCTGGATCTCTACCCAGCAAGGCCCTTCCATGGATCCTGAGGCTGGGTCCACAGAAGCACTGTGATGGTGGTGTCCTTGCTGCCCTCTTCACTCTGGGTTCCCCCTGTAAGTAGCCAGGCCGGTGGCGGGAGCTTGCCCTCCCTTCCATGTGCCCCCCGATGAGGTCTGGGGCTTCTAAGAAGTCCTGGCCACCTCCAAGCATCATGAGTGAGCACAGTAGGCTTGCAAGGACCCGAGGACCTCCTCACATGCGGATGTGGAAGTGGCCGTGCCCTCCCCATTCCTGGACCCTGCTCCCATGCTTGACGTATGACTGGACAATGCCCGCTGTGCTCCTGTCAGGGCAGCCCTGGCTGGAGGGTGGGCCGCCTTCACCTGCCCCTCTTGCCCCATCCCTCTGGTTCTTTTACCATGATTCCCCCAGCCCTTCTCCTTCCCCCCTCTGCCCACCTGCTGCAAGACCTGCTAGTCACTCTGACGCCCTATCCACGGCCCTCTGACTATTCTCACAGGCTGTCCCCATGGTCCTGACTCCCCACTCTGCTGACCTCCTGCCCCTCCCCAGCCCCAGTCTTAAGATGGCAGAAGCCTTGCTGGGGAGCAGTGTTGGTTGGGGGGAGGCTTGCATTAGCTGGATGGCAGCCCTGTTTTGCCCCCTCACTGGAGAGCTGCCTGACCCTCTGTGAAGTGAGTCTGATTCTGTAGCAGGCCCACCCCCTGCCTCCCACACTCAGGATCAGCTACATAATTTGTGGATCCCACTGCAAAATGAAAACGCAAGATGCATTGTTGAAAAATGATTAAGAATTTCAAGATGGCAAGAGCAGAGCATGGAACCAACCACCAGGCCCCTCTGTGAACGTGGGCCTGTGGGACTGCTCAGGTCTCACACTGATAAGGCCAGCCCTGCCCACATCTCTTTCCAGCTGGAGACGGTCTCTCCCCCCTCTCTTATCCTCAGCTGCTTTCTAAAACAGCTCCTCAGGGCCCCAGGCAGGAGCCCAGCCCCAGCCCCCTCCAGACGCCCAGAGCCCTGTTCAGCAGGCTGTCAGCATGGATTCCTGCAGCCCTGTGGGGGTCTTCCCCCCACATGCCCTCCGGCTGCAGAGCACTCATATCCTTCTCAAATCAATGCTTATTTATTGAGCCCCACCTGGCTGAGGTTGAGCAAGAGAGGACACGTTGATGAATACTCAAGTCATTGCCCTGTAGGAGCTCAGTTTATAGCAGGATTAATACTTAAGCAAGAGCAAAACCAAACACAGACTCTGCGGGTTCACAGAAAAATAATCATATTTGATTAGGAAACTGAGTATCACAAAAGAGACACCCTAAAGATGGACTCTGATGAATGGGCAAGATCTTAGGAACCCGGAGAGGAAAGGGGCATTCCCGGGAGAGGGCTCAGCATGGGCAGAGGCTGCAGGTGGGAGGATGCATGGCTGATTCTAGAATCCTGAGTTGTGCAGTTTGGCTAAGGTAGAGGGATGATGGCACAGTGGACAGGGACTGGAAGGAAAACTTGGCGTCAGCCGTGGAGGCTCACAGGGCCGCGGTGAAGTGTGTGTACCCTCTTGCTGGAGACACCGAAGGGGGGCTTTAAGCATGGTGCACACTTGGGAGCAATGGGAGAAGGAAGGAGACCTCCTTTGCAGAGTATGGAGCCACACTTCCCCGCAGAACGGGCCGCTCCTAGCCCGGGTTCCAGCCCTCGTGACCGCAGTCCGGAAGCGCTGAGGCCTGGGCGGCCTCCTGCCCCGCGCGCGCGGAGAGCCCACCATCCCGCGCGCCCCTTGGTTCCTAGCAGGGCCCGGGCGGGGGTCATGGGCATGGGGCTTTCCCGCCACCGGCTCGCATTGGCCCTGCGCCAGTGTGTGTGGGGCGGGTGGGGGTGCGGAATAGGATCCCTCACTGGGGTGGGGGTAAAGCGGCTGCGCACGCCCAGAACGCACTACCCGGAGTGGGGAGAGCGCGGCTCCCAACACTGACCGGCCCACCACCCGCTGTATTTTAACTTTCCATTATAGTTCTCAGACAGGCACCAAAGTAGAGAGAATGGTGCAGAGCTTCCCCACGTCCCCACCGCCCCGCTGCCACAGTTGTCCCCTCTGGGCCAGCGCCCACCCCCAGCTGTAGAAGAGCGGGCGCCGGGCGCGCGCACCGAGGCTGGGGAACGGACCGCGGCGGGGGGCACCGCGGGCGGGGAGCGGGGCTCGCGGGTAGGGCCGCGGGGGGCGGGGGCGGGGCGGGGGCGGGGCGCGGGGCGGGGCGGGCGGGGGGCTCCCTCCCAGGGACTCTGGGCGCACGGGCGGGGGGCCGAGCGTCAGTCTCCGCCCTGCAGCCGGGAGGGAGCCCGCCGCGCCGCCGCTCTCCGCGCCCGTCCGTCCGCCCGCCGCCCGCCGCAGCCCGCCGCCTCGCCATGCCCAACTTCGCCGGCACCTGGAAGATGCGCAGCAGCGAGAATTTCGACGAGCTCCTCAAGGCGCTGGGTAAGCTGGCGCGGTCGGTGCGCGCCTACGAGGAGGCGCGGCGCCGAGGTGCCCCGGGCCCAGCCCCGGCGGAGGGAGTCCCCGGGGCGAGGGCGAGGGCGAGGGCGAGGGGAGCGAGCCAAGGCCGCCCCGGCAGGAGCGGCGAGCGGCGCCCGGGAGCCGCGCGCCCCGCGGACGTTCGCTGGAGGCTTGGCGCCTTCCCCGACGGCTCGGCCTCGGCTCGTGCTGGATCAGCGCCGGGGGGGTGCTCTCCGGAGTCCAAGGAGGATCAGGGACTTTACATCTGGAGACTCGGTGTGAGGCCAGGCCCCGCCACGAATTCACCGTGCTGCGCGGGGAGAGCCGCGTACCCTCCGAGCCTGTGTCTCCTCCGGAAGGTTGGGGCGGGGGCTGGGGGAGCGGGTGTTTTGAGGTCCCCGTCTGCAGGCGGGGTGGTGGGAAGTGCCGGGCGGGCGCTGCGACCGAGCCCGCGGCGCCGCCCTCCTTCCCTGCGCAGGTGTGAACGCCATGCTGAGGAAGGTGGCGGTGGCGGCTGCGTCCAGGCCGCACGTGGAGATCCGCCAGGACGGGGATCAGTTCTACATCAAGACGTCCACCACGGTGCGCACCACCGAGATCAGCTTCAAGGTCGGAGAAGGCTTCGACGAGGAGACCGTGGACGGACGCAAGTGCAGGGTGAGGCCCCAGAGGCGGGCGGCTTGCGGGGTCCCCGACGCGCCCCTGCCTGCCTTTGCGGCCGGCGGCGCGCTTTCCCTGCAAGGCGGTGCGCCGGCGGTTCGCAGAGAGGATTCGTGCGAGCGGGTTGCCCTGGGCTCGCGAGAAGGTCCTCCCCAGTCCGCGCCCACCCCACCCCACCCCACCCCACCCCAAGCCGCCTCCTCCGCGCTGCGCCGGGAGGGGCGGGGGACCCCGGCGGCGGCGGCGGGGGGCCGGGCCGCCGCCACGTCTCCTGTCGCGGGTGGAACGGCGGCGCTCGCTTCCCCCCCCCCCGGGCCCCGGGTCCCCGGGCCCCAGGGGACGCCCTGGATCCGGTTTCAGCGGTGTCGTGGGCCAGCACCTCTCGCTCCGGCCCTCAGCCTGGTTTCTGAAGGAAAGGCGGCGTCCTTCCCAAAGCGAGGCCGATGCTGGCTGGGGAGATGGACCAAGTGCTCGCTCAGTCCTCAAGGGCAAGAGTGTGTGTTTGTGCGGCGCTGGGCCCCGGGGATGAACAGTGGCGGAAGCCAGCGACAGTACATGCCCGCTTGCCGTGGCGAAAATCGCTTTTGGTTGAACAAATGAAGGGTCGGTTAGTGTGTATTCTGAGGGCGGATGGAAAATTGTCGCTGCTGCAATCAGTTATCCAAAAGGCGACAAAATGTCTCCCTCCCTTTCCCCGGCGTTCAAAACAAAGAAACACGAATAAGGTTCCAGAAAGTGAGGAACTGAGTCTCCGGTTTCCTGAGGGGGCCTGTCTGATCTGCAGAGTTGGACCCTCCGGACACGGAGACTCGGCCGCCGGGGTGGCCCCACATGGCCGGTTGGGCGCACAGAATCGGCACAGCCAGAAAATGATGTCCAGGCTTGCAGAGGGCAGGGTCTGAGCCCCACGGCACTGTTTGTAAAAACAAGAGTGACCGGGAGTCCCGGGGAGCTGGCCTGGCCGTCGGCAGGACTCAGCTGGGGACGTCCAGCGGTGGCCACTGCCAGAGACCACGGCTCCGATAAAAAATCAGAGGTTCACGTGACAGCCTGGCAAGTGTCCGTTAGAAAGCAAGTGCGTGCGTGCTCCACGTGGACACCCCCACCCAGCTGGCGAGCACTGCTTTGTGCCGCCTCCCACGTCCAGGAGCATGAAGACGGTTGATTTGTTTTGAGTCTGAATGTTTTCCAGAGGCCGTACCCTGGAAGGTGGTAGTGTTTTTGTCCTCAGAGATACTCAGGTTTGTCACAACAGTCTGTACACACGGAAAGGAAGGGGTTATCCCCAAATCCGTGCAGTGGAGAGGGCTCCTGTTGCTGGCTACAGTGTGGCTATAAATACAGTGTCTTAGGTTCCAGCGTGGTACAGTTCTGATGGGAAGGTTCTTGCCCTTAATATGCTAGTTGCTTGAAGGGATAGTCCATTTTGACACAATGAATCACTGCATGCTCTGCATTTTATTCCTGGAGATGAGAGCCCAAAGCTCCGCTGGTTCGGAGAGTGTGTGTGTGCGCGTGGGGAGGGGGGCGCTCTGGGGGGACACGAGGTCTATTTATTCCCCATAAACCCATGGCCGTCCCTCCGAATCTGGACTCCATAGGGCACCGCAGAGGCTTCTGTGCCCTGCTGACAGGGACCATGTGTTGCTTCTCTCCACAGCCGAGACCCTCCCGTGCGCACTGTTGTCTCCGCTCCTGCTGCCAAGACCATAATTAATGTCACTAATGGTTTTCCTGCCTGCAGAGTTTGGCCACTTGGGAGAATGAGAACAAGATCCACTGCACGCAGACTCTCCTCGAGGGGGATGGCCCCAAAACCTACTGGACCCGCGAGCTGGCCAACGACGAGCTCATCCTGGTGAGGTCCTGGGCCCCTGAATCACGCCTACAGTCCCCAGATGGTGCCGTCCTCCCTCAGCAGAGAGCGGGACCCCGTCGGCCGTGCGTTAAAATTTGAGCGGAAAGCTTGAGGTGACAGTGGAGGTCACAGGCATTCATCGTTCCGTGGTTGGGAGGAGCAGGGCTGTGACAGGCTGTAGCGTCCCCATGGCGGCTCCGTGGCGGCTCGAGCCAGCCTCCCTTCCCAATGGGCCAGAGCGCATGGGCTCGGGAGGCCCCAGGGGTTTTCACTCTGCAGAGGGACTTTTTTCCCCTTCTCGTTCCCCATTTTGCTACCAGGGAAAGATTTCAGGAATTTTAGTGCGTCAGCACTGGGAGCCTCAGAGAGCATTTTTACCGCTAGACTTACCAACTGAGTGGCCTTCAGGAGCCAGGCAAGTCCTGTGGCTGCCGAAGGCTCTGCGTGTCCCGTGGTCTGCGGCTGGGGCCTTAGAACAGGGAAGGGTGGGCTCTCCCTTCGAGGCACTCAGGTTAAAACATTTTAAACAATCCTGGCCACACAAACTTTACCTGGTGAGGCCAGTTTAGAAACCCCCACGGTTTAATCACACACTGCCTCGTCCTTGATTTTAGGTGTTGGGGGCAGAGGGCGTCGGGGAGGACAGGGAAGGCTCAGTCACTCTTCTTTGTACTTCAGAATAGAGCAGGCTCTCCCTGCCCCGCCCCCGCCCCCCACCACGCACACGTGCACACATTCTCACACACGCACACTCTCCGCGCACACGTGCTCACACGTGCACGCACTCACACACACATAACACACGCACACACGCAAGGAAAGGGAAAAGCTGTGTGGGTGCCCTGGAAATGATATCCTTTGTTCTCCACGAGGCATATGTTACCATCTGCCCTCTAAGAGCGCCCGCCTGCCCCGTCTTAGCCAATGGCACCCTGCAGCACTGAGGAGGGAGCCGGCAGAGTGGGACGTGAGCCGGCCACGCTGTGCGACCGAGGCGTGGCCCTTCCCTTCCCAGGCTGTGGCCTGAGGGCTGCCGCTAAAGTCTGATCCCCGGTTGGGCTGCTCTCAGCCCTGAAACTGCATGTTGATCCTGTGAGCAGACCCTGCATGGAGCGGTCTCTGTTACTTCAGCTGAGGCCGCTTGTCCTTCCCAGCCCTCACTTCCAGTCCTATCTGCTTTCATAGAGAAGGGACTGGCTTCCTTTGCAACCTGGTGAATGCCGTTTCCAGGGAAGGACTACTTGATGGGGTTGGAGGAGCACTTTGAGGCCGAGACATGGAATTTAGGAGAAAAAGGAACAAAAGGTTCGCTGGTACCTGAGTCAGCAAAGCTCTTAGTTCTGGAGCGTGGCTGAGGGTCGAGCAGGCTCGGTTTGCTCCGTGAGAAAGTGTGATTTTATTAACCTTGTAATCCCCGAGCAACCAGAAAACATTCTGCTGCGAGGACTGCATGACTTCCAACACCCACCCCCCGCCCCCCAGCTCCACCCGTGCATCCTTCCTTGGCTCAGCCGACCAGACAAGCCTCAAAAGGAGCATTAATTCTTGGCATTTGAGACTTGATCTATGGGCTTTTGTTTCAAGGGTTGTTATCATTAATAAATCCAAAACGCAGGGAGATGCTATCTCCTTATAACAAGAGGCAAATTATCCTAGTTAAGTTGAAATAAGCTCTCCCAGGGCCAACAGTAAATGGTCCCCCGGGGGCTGTAAGTTGCCTTCTGTGAAAATGGAGGATCTTCCCTCAAACCGCTCTGGAACAGTCTAGAGTTTCTTTCAGGAATCTTTCGGCATGGGTGCCGGCTGAGAAGGATGTTTCAGATCAGGTTGGAAATGGGATTTCTTCTTGTATCTGGAAGCTGCTTGTCGGCCTGGGGGCCTGGGGGAGGCGTCAGATACGAGGGTGGTTACAGTGCATGGGAAGAGTCTAATCCCACACACTCCATGTCCCTGGAGCTGAGAGGTCAGCACCCCTAGAGGTAAATTCCGGTGGGAACGCCTGCCCCCCTGCCCTTCTCCCGGCGCAGCATCTCCTGCAGACAGAGGTGTCCGGAGCAGGTACAGCTGTGTCTGCGTGACCAGGAGCCCCCACTTGGAAAAGCTGCTGATGGCTGTTTGCTTCCTGGTGTCACTCATGACTAGTGTTTCCCTGAGACACACGTTGGGACGTCCTAGCACGCGCTCCGAGAGCCTCTCAGCCGGCCGACGGGCCAGGGCAGGAAGCTGAAGGTCAGGTCTAGCCAGGCTCTCAGCCTCTCCCGGGCCTCAAGCCCCTTTGAGAATCTGAGAGCAAGGGGCGCTCCTGCAGAAAAGCGTACGTCGGCAGACGTGCCCACATCGGGGCTGCAGACTGGAGGATTTTTGATGTTTGGTTTTGTGTGTGAAACAAACATATTGCTTTCCCTGTTCCAACTGCGTGTAAGAGCCCAGGAGAGCAGGCCCCTGAGTAATTGCTAGTTTGGGGGAGAGTTAAGATAGTTTACTTAGAGGCGATCCCACTTCAGGGGCCAGAAGAAAATCCTCCGTCTGGGGAGGTTTGTGCCCACCGCACAGCAAACAGACATACAAACAAAGAGCCGTAGAATTTTGGCTGGAAAGAGCCTTGGGGATCGTCCTGTTCCATTCCAGCCCTGTCTGACACCCCCTCCCTTCCACTCCGCACCAGCAAGAGAGGAAGCGCCGGGCCCCCTTCCCCGCTCCGGGGGCTGCAGAGCTGGGTCCAGGCCAGTGCTGTGCCTTTGCAGCTCAGACCCGTTTTCCAGCTTGCAGATAACTTGAGGGTGGGCAGCCGCTCTCTCCAACGCCGCCCCGTCTGGCTGGTCAGCGCGCGAGCCCTGGGCTCCAGCTGCCCAGGCCCTGCGCCCTACTGAAGTCATTTGAAGAGACAGAACCGCCTCAGAAATGTCCAATGTGACATCTCCCCCTTTCAGTTTAATTTTTCAAACCAAACATTTCCCATGTCAGCACTCATGGGATCCAGAAACAAAGGAAAATTGCATATAATTCTACACCCCAGTTGCTCTCTGCCCGTGTATGGAGCTTAAGGGAGAAGAAAAGACCTTAGCAGTTAGTGTGAGCATGTGGCAGAGGAAATTGAACGTTGGTTACAAAGGGCTTTTAACAGGGCAGTAAGTGGCCTTATTAGTGATACATTTTAAACATATTTGCACAGGCATCTGCTCTGATTGTTTTTCCTTCTCTGCAGACGTTCGGCGCCGATGACGTGGTCTGCACGAGGATTTATGTTCGGGAGTGAAGGCGGCCGGCTTGCTCCTATTTTGGGGTGGGATGCATGTTCCCCTGAGAAATGGCATAGGTCTGAGCTGCCAGTGGACCCCCCCACCCCACATCAACGTTAGGTGACCCCATTTCCCCCGTGATGGTGTTGTAGTATTTCCCCCCAAGGCCTCTGTACCCCTGAGTCCCTGGTGCTCTGTAGTTTGGCATCTGCATGGTTTTGCCTGTCATTAAACCAGCTGGCTGCGTTGCAAGGCTTTTCCTTTCTTTGAGCTGCGTCTTCAGTTGCAGCCTGGGGTTATCGTGTCCCTGCTGTCCTTAGTACCGTGCTGGGCTGGGTAGTGTCTTCAGCTTCAGCCTGCTGCCTAGGACCCCTGCTTGGAGCCTACAGCAGGGTGGCAAGCCGGGCTCCCTCCAGCTGGATCCAGACTGCAGAGCTAGGCGTGTTTGGACCTCACAGTGTCGTTTCCGAAAGGAATTAGTCTGTAGTGGTGGCTCCTAGCAGGAAAAGGAGGGCACATTCACAAGGTTAATTGAGGGGAGGCCAGAATAAAGGGACTATTTACACAGACACTTACAGGGGCAGGATGAAGCGAATCGGCGAAGGATGGGGCGGCCCTCGGACCAGCAACACGGGAGGTATTGCTCCCCTTTGTCTGCAGACGGAAGGGACAGAGGGGTCACCAGACAGAAGAGCTATAGCCTGGGAGGGAGCCCACCATGCAGGAGCTGTGGCAGTATGTGGAGGAAGGTAGCTACTGTCCACACCGTGGCCCCAGTGTACCGGGGGGTGGAGGGGCATGGAGGTGGAGGTCGGTTTGGAACTACAGGGTTAAGAAGTATCCTGACCGCCCAGCTTTCGATCTCTGATCCACCTGTGCTGAGCACTGGCCAAACCCAGTGGAACGTAGGGGGCAGTGAGTCACCCTCCCCGGATATAGCCAGGTGCCGAATGGATCTGAACATGTAAATCCACAGTTGCCAACTCTTACATTTTAAAATCCGATTTCACATGAAAATCTGGATTTCTGTTTCTTCAGGAGAAAAACGGGAAAATCCCTGAACCGACATTCCCACAGGGTTAACAGCTGACGGCTTCCCCCCTTTGAGGTGGACCTTGCCACCGTCCCTGTCCTCATTTACACCGTTCCCTGGCTTCGCAGGCACCTCTCCCTGCTCTCCTAGGCACATGGGCTCTTGGCAAAGCCAGGCTACAGTTAGCTGAGCGGCAATGTGCAGGCGTGTCTGAGGTCAGGAGAAGGTGACCCTCCAAGAGCTCACAGTCTCATGGGGCAGGCATCTAAGGCCCAGGTGCCACTACCTGAGTGTAAATGAGGACACATGTACCTAAATCCTCACACCTCTGAAGTCCAGGACCCCACTTTGCTCTTGCGGGCCCTCAGCCCTTCCCAAATACTCTGCTGCGTACATGGAACTGTGGGGAGGGGGTCTCCTGCTGAATCTGGAATGCAGCCTGCTTGTTGGGGCTCTGTGGACTGCCTCTGTCGTGTTGCCCCCCACGAAAGCGCCAACGGCTCTGTTAACAGCCCTGTTTCTCAGTGCCAAAGCCACGGGGCCCTGACCTATCAGAGCAGGGCTGGATTATGGGTCAGAGTAGAAGAAAGCCTAACACTGGGCTATACATACTGCCCAGGACCCCAAGTGACCTCTGCTGGTCCCCAGAACTTCTCAAAGCCCTTCATGAAAACACCCCCAGTGCCACTAGTCACTGGGTATGGACACTGGGACATTCCTTCCGTTTTGTTCTTTGCTAGGAACTGCCAAGTGCGTGCACAGTACCCTACCCCGCAGCTTCATATGGCAGAGAGCAAGGGCTAGATGCCCCCCTGGAGGAGGGGGGTTGCATGGGCCTGTAAGTTTGGGGAGCACCTGGATTGGTATGCAGTGGAGAGGGGGCAATGTGGAGGCCCGGCCTGCACGCAAGTATGCCAGACCTGATGCAAGAGAAGGGACCAGGCTGGCCACGAAAGAGAAGGTGTGACAGGCAGGTCGTGGTACAGGGACACGGGCTGGCGTGCCTGGACTCCACCCATGGGTGCTGGGTGCTCCTCACTGCGGATGGACTGAGCGGGCCCAGCCATCTTGGCGGACACGCTGCCTGGCTCCCGCGGCTGCCCAGTCTCCTCCAGAGCCCCCACACTGGGCAGGGGCAGGCTCCCGGTGGAAGCGAGGATGCGAGAGGACCTTCCACTTGCCCGACTCCGGGAATTCAGCCACCTCCACCATGTTCGCTACCACGCGTCACATGGGGGCACATGTGTTGCCTTTTGGGTTTTTTCCGGGGGGAGGGGCAGGGGGAGAAGCTCCAGCCGACTCCGAGCTGAGCGCAGAGCCCGGGGCGGGGCTCGATCTCCCCACCTGGAGCATCAATCAGGGTCGGAGGCTTACTGAGGCACCCGGGCGCCCCTCCTTCCGACCAGCCTTTTTTGGAGACGTCCAACTCTCGCCCTCACATCAGGCCCAGGCCAGCGCGGGGAGGTTTGGATGACGAGGTGTGCCCACCGCAGGACCGGCGTTCGCTCAGCACATCGGCTGTGGCCTGTTTCTCTGAAGTCAAGGCCCCGTGTTTCCCACTTGTCCTGAACACCGTGCAGGGACAGGAGCGCTCCGTGGAACCCAGTCTGGGGACGGCGGCTGCGATCCGCGTTACACACATTGCGTGGCGCGTGTAACTGACACACGCATGTAGGCGGTCACGGGCACCGGAATCGTCTTGCCGGGGCACCCTCGGCAGTCCTCGCGGTGAAGCGCGCGGAGGTCGCACTCCGCCCGGCATTCAAGGCCTCCCCGCCGGGCCTCGCGCTGCCCCGGGGGCCAACCTCCAAGACGAAGACGCCGCAGGTCGCAGGTCGGCCCGCCGGGAAGCCCGCCCCCCCGCCTGTCGGGCCGTTTCGCCTTCCCGCCGGGCGGTGCCGCTCACGTGCCCGCCCGGACCGGTGCCCCCGGGGGCGCGCGCCAGCGTGCGTCACGCGGCCCCGCAGGGCGGCCGAGCCTGTTGGCGGAGCCGGGAAGGCGGCGGCCAGGGGTCTCCCCCGGGCGGCCAGACCTTGGGCAGGTTCCCGCCTGGCTGGGCTGAGGGTTCGGTGCGCAGGGGCTCAGCGACGCCAGTGAGTCCGGCGCCCCGCCGCCTGGCCCGAGCCCGCGCCCCGCGCCCGGGCCTCGGATGGTTCTGCCCGCTCGGGCCCGCCTCCCTCCGGGCCGGACCCGCGCGCCCGGGCTCCCGCGGCCGGCGGGCGTCGTCGCTCGACGTGGCCCAGCCGCCGTCGTTGCCCGCCACCCCGCCCGCGTGGCCCCTGAGGCCGGGACGTCTCTGCGCCCCCGGGGCGCACGGCGAGTGGCTGGCGCGCTCCGTGACACGTGCTGCCCGTCTGACCGCGGGACGGCCGGCTGAGCCCCCCGCACCGGTCCTGCAGGCCCGTGGACGCGGGAGCGCGCCCCCACGCCCCCGGCGCCCCCGGCCCCTCGGGCACGGAGCGTGCGCGCGGTACTTCGTCGGTCTCGGGGCAGGTGGCCGGACCTTCCCAGCCCGCTCCTCGGCCGCCTCCCACCCCAGAGGCCCCAGACGGCAGTGCTGCGCGTAGCTAGAGCCGCCGGTGCCGCTGCGTCTGGCAGGGAGACTTAAGGGAACGTCGGCTAAGGGGCTCCTGGGAAACACGTTCTGTTCCGGATGAGAGAGGAGAGCCCGAGAAGCTAACTTGCGCTTCCTGTCTCAGAGTGTGGCGTGAGGTCGCAATGCCTGGAGCTGGGGCAGCCATGTTATACCCCTGAGGAAAGGGCCGAGGGAATCTGGGAGATGCCAGCCTGAGGCCACTGAGGTAATACAGTCCCCACCCCTCTTTGGGGGTGTTGCTGTGTGGTTAAAGAAAAAGCCCTGCTTTGTTTAAGCCAGTTATGCAGTGGCTTCCATACTTGCAAGTAAAAGCATTCCTAACTAATACACCAAGGCAACAGATTGCAGATTTCTAGGAAGTCTTGGCTTCATGATGACTACGAGCACAATGAAACTAGACAATGTGCCATCTTGCTCGAAGGAAAAAGTAATGTTGAAATATTTTATGCAAGACCTGGGTTCATATTGTAACATCCTTCTCAGTCCCCTTACTTCAACCCCCTCTCGTCACCATGGCAGCCGGCATGTAGGAGTAAACAGCAAGGATGTGATCAGAGACAACGTGGGGCAACAAGCTTGCAAAGGCAGCCTGCAAACCACCAACCTGACCCCACCCGCGCCTTTCAGAGACAGCCCACGAGGAGGGCACTCCAGGGATCTTCCCTTCCTGGCACTTTTACGGCAACAGCCCTTTAGTGCCGGCAGAGTCCTCAGTCCTGTCGAGAACGTCCCTCGTACCTAAAGTCTAAGAACACTGTGCCCTAAGATGAAAGAAATGCAGTATGTCATTGGGTGAAAAGTAGTCTTCATGAAGTCTCCAAAGAGTTCATTACATGCAGTCCAGAGTGCATCTGAAATCCCCTCTGACGGCACACTCTTAAACTGGACAGACCGCTGTGCTTATCCCAACCCATCAGAGCCCCTCCGCCTTTTTTTTTTTTAAGATTTTATTTATTTATTTGTCAGAGAGAGAGAGAGAGCACGCACAAGCAGGAGGAGGGGAAGGCAGAGGGAGAAGCAGGCTCCCCGCTGAGCAAGGAGCCCGATGTGGGACTCAATCCCAGGACCCGGGGATCATGACCTGAGCCAAAGGCAGACGCTTAACCAACTGAGCCACCCAGGCATCCCGAGCCCCTCCGCTTTTAAGCATCCCAGGTGTGGAGAGCTAGCACCCAGGGAATGAGTCCTTCAGGGTCATCGTTTCAGGTGCTTGTCGAGATCCGGGGTTCCTTCTCTACAGTGCCCCCCTTTTTAAACTCTTACAGAAAATTTCAAGCATACACCACGGTAGAGAGAATAGTATAATCATTCCTCATGCACCCACCACCCCACGTCAACAGCCTTTGACGCCAACCTTGTTTCATGTACTCTCTCCTCTCTTAGATTTCTATGAGGCAAATCCTAGACATTTTATGATTCCACCTATAAATATTTCAGTGTATGTCTCTAAAAGTTGACAATTGGGGCACCTGGGTGGCTCAGTCGTTAAGCGTCTGCCTTCGGCTCGGGTCATGGTCCCGGAGTCCTGGGATCGAGCCCCGCATCGGGCT